TATATATATATATATATATATATATATATAGTACCTCAATATTTTTATAAGGCTTAAACAAAGTTTAATTATCCCTAAATTAAAATAAAATATCATCAAAACAATACTGGGTATTTGTAAAATAAAATACCTATGCTATTTCATCAACCAAAATTTAATTCGACCAACCTAAATCCTAGTTATAGTTTTAAAACTATATCCTCATTCACAAACAATTCCAAAAGATGTTGATAGTAAAAGACAATCATATATATATATATATTCATAACTTGACATAATCATATTTGATGAAAGCCAGTTGCAGATTTCCTTGTTGATCTTGCATCTTCTAATATTTTCTCTCTAATTTTCGGGTGCATTGCATGGAATTTATCAACCTCCTTCTGGATTTCATTCTTTTTCTGGTGGAAATTACTTAGAACATATTTTTTTGTGTACTTCTTTTGTAAATCTGTGAGTTGAATTTTTTGATTTGGTCCCTCTATGGTGAAACCAGTTTCTCCACGACCTTTCATCTCTCATCCAAGTTTTCATATGCCGCATCAAAAAGACACCACCATCATCGAAGTTTTCTCACCTCATCTCCAATCTTTCATGTCCGGTTTCATCTATTTCTGTCCAAATCGGATGTTGACCTTATTTAAATGTTCTATCATAAGCCAATGATGCAAAACTAACATACTCGATCATGATGACAATTTATATTATATGCATAAGGACGTCACGAAGTTTCATTTTCCATTTCTCTTCTATGACAACGGTCGATGGTTTATTGAAGTTGAACACCACCATGTAGTAGTGACCACAATCCATAATGGGGAAGAAAAGCTGTTTTGGATTAAAAATTATATAAAGCTAGGAAGACGAAATATATTAGATGCATGTTAACTGAACAAAAATTAATTAGCATATGCTGACCATACCAAATCCATATTTCACATTTTCAAAAGGTTCATATCAAAATGAGATGATATCACCAAGTTTCTAATGAACAGTTCATATTGGACCTTGAAATCAGCATATTGTGTCCTTAGCTTGGGATCACCCTGTGTTTTTGTTAGGTAATTAAAACACTTGCAGTTTGTAGCATTGTTTCTTTATTTTGTTGCAATATATATCAGAAATAATTCCAATCTTAACAATACATTTTTCTTGAAAAAATACCGTCAAATTGAATCATGACTTCTATAGATTTCCTCATAGTTAAGCAATCCAGCCCATCCGTCAATCACATTTGTGTAGACGATAGACTTGGATGCTAAGCTTTCCAAATTCCTACGCAAAATATTTGTTTCGTTCTCTAACTCAAATACTTGGTCACTGCATTATTTGAAGGGATTTAACATAGATAAGTTTCTAAAGTTATTGTAGTGTTAGGAGCTGTTTACCCAAATGCTTACCCGATAAGTGCCTACCTATAGGAGTCACCACTATAATTTACCTTGTTGCGTAAGATTTTAGTACATCAAAACGTATCGAATGCAACAATTTACTGGGTAAGAGTCGTCATCTTCATTTACCGGGTAAGACTCTACATCCTTCTCGTCGCTCTTACCCGGTAAGATTCTTGGCCCTTATCATGTTCATCGGATGAGAAAATTTATCCGATAAGCACTTTCTAAGTAAGTCTTTATAAGATTTAGATTAGCTTATTGTTAACAAATTAAAGTTGCTGTAATCGCTATGAGTGCCCATCATTCATGTATCCGTTTATATATCTTGAGCGCTAACTTTGATGTCAACATCCCTTAGGATGTATATATGGCGACTTCAAGTGATGTCCAATCCAATATCATCCTCGTTAATTATGACACACAAATTCCTTTAATGGTGCATCATCTTGTATACAAATACCCCTTGATTGCTTTCCTTTTTGAATATCAGTTGCTTCACCAGTTCCAGCTGTATCCACCCTTGCTTCAGTCCCTTGAACGTTTTTTAAAAATGTCTTGATGAAAGCTTCATCATATCGTTCGGATATTTAACTCTTCCGTTTCGTACTTTTTAGCCATAATACGATATATCTTGCCTACAATCATTGTAATTGAATGCACAACAGCTTCATATGAGAATATACAATGAAACGACGTAAACATATTCATGAAACGATTTTAAAACAATGAAACAACGTTACGCATATTGCACTACAAGAAGAATGACCTTCGGAGAAGCTTTTGTTTTCTACTTAAAAGTTTCAAAAGCTTATCTAAAGACTTTAGAGAAACTTTTCAATTCCGTCAAAAAGTTTCTCTATATAAGGGTAGGTAAAGACTTTCGAGAGGGATGTGAAATGGTGTGTGTTTGTTAGCCTTTAAAGAGGCTTATTTGAGGCTTTAGATAGACGTCCAAACTTTTCTAAAGGTTAGTCAAATTTTTATTCAAAGTTTCTCTAAAAGTATATATATTAGTGACGCTTTTAAAGTATTTGTGACGGTTTATAAGAGTAATTAGAAGATACTTTTAGAGAAGGTAATGGAAAAGCTTCTTTAAAAATATTGGCTTTAATGACACTTTTAAAAAATCTTCTCTAAAAGTCCTTGTTAATTACATTTACAAAATCTTCTCTAAATATGATATTTAAATACACAAACTCAAAATCTTCTCTAAAAATTATTTTTAGTTAAACTTTTAAAAAATAAATTCCTTTTCTAAAAAACATATTATATTATTATTTCATCCATAATTCATATGCATATATATATATATATATATATATGGGCCTATTCAAGGGAGAACTGAGTTGTTTGTGGTAACTGTGAGAACCAATATTAACCACAAATCAATAGATAAATTAGGAAATTT